TGAGTTTGCCCTGCATAAGCTTTATGCAGGGTAAAATGGATTTATTTGGGTTTAGACCCCATTGGGAGTTGGGCATCTGAGTGCTAAAGACAAACACACTTTTGTGAGCTGTTTTCAGGTAAACTTGCAGCTTTGGGAAAAGTGATTCAGACCCTGGGTCTGTGCTGGAGCAGACTGGAGTGTCTGGCTCAGCAAGACAGGGTGCTGGAGTCCTGAGCTGGCAGGGAAAACAGGAGCAGAGGTAGTCTTAGTACATTGGGTGGCAGTTCCCAAGGGGGTTTCTGTGATCCAACCCGTCACACAACCCCTCTACAATGGCTCTCTGTATTAGCCAACACTGAACCTCCAGCTATCCACTGAGATACAGCCATTGCACGTGAACTTAACACACCAAAGACTACCCGGAACTTCCCATCCAGCAGGTTATAGACAACATACCGCATGCCTGAAATAGCAACAACTGCTGTGGACCACATGCAACCACCTCACATCTTTGGATCTAGCCAAGGAATGGCAAAGTATCTGGACCTCATCCACTGTTCCAAACAAGCACATTAACACTGACTCCACATGCCGCCCTTGTGGTTTCAATCTGCTACGCAGACTCTAGACCATACTCAACTGCACCTGAACAAACCACCCAAGATGCAGGTACTTGATACCGAAATGGAAAAGTCAGAGACTCTTTCATGCAACTGTGGTGAGAACATCCAAACCACTGAACACATCATAACAGTGCCCCAAATATGGATTCAAAGGTGAAATGGATGATTTATGTGCCTACAATTGCATCTGCAGATACTGTGAGTGAGGAGAAAAAGAGAGAGACAGGTGGGAGCTGTAGCCTAAAATCTCCCAAGCTGGGGAGAGAAGGGATGCAGGTTGCTGCCAGAGAGAACATATGGCTAGAGGCCTGGGAGGGTGTTCCTTGAGCAGACCATAAGTGGGGAAGGGTGTCAAAGATGCAGTTACCTCAAAATGGTGACAACCATACTAGAGAATTAACACTTTCCACCATAAAGTTGAGAGATTTTAAGAGACTGTTTTTACCTGTGGTATTTTCAGTGGTTTTTTCTGTGGGTTTTACAGTTGATCCTGTACAAAGAAAAACACGTACAAATATTTTCAGGTGCTAGGTGCACATCATCCTTGGAGTCAATAACTCATTCATTCTATCAACTCTGCATTCAGATAACAAAGAAAGCCAATCAAATATAAAACTCAAAATCAAACCCACAGCTCTTATGTTACCCAGACTAAAGATAGAGATATGGCTGAATTCTGTATTTCGTTACCAGGGATAGAGCAACTACAATTTTTCAAAAAAGACAGACACTTACCACACCAAAGTGTTTTACTTTATTGCAGTATTTGTGATGCTCCCTATACTAATCAACAGGAAATACTATCAACATGATGAATTTAACTGCACCAAGCTGTAGTTGTCCAGTGTTCTGTGGCACCCACTTTAATGAAGTTAAAAGATGTGACATGGTAAGAACCAGGGTCATTAGGGAAAATAAAGAAGCTTGAAGCTAGTTTACTGAATGGGCTTGATAGAAAACTGTAATACATTAACATTTTACATTATTTACCATGAAAAAAAATCACCTGGGCATGTCTGGTAACGCAAGTACATTGTGCAAAACAAGACATTGCTCCACCCACAGGGCTTATGATCTAAGGCAGCACAGGCTGGGGTTGAAACAATACAGAGTGACATGAAAGATGATGACGTACAGGGTAAAGGAGACCAAGATAGCAATCTATTGAAGAGTACATGAAACACGTATGGGTTTAGAAACAAGTGAAAACAGATCGTGGAAAGCTCTCTCTGAGACAGCTGACTTTCATATTTCTCATGCGATGCATGGACACTCTATGACAGGCATGAGGACAAGTGCCAATGAGAAGCAAAGTCGGGAAAGTAACTGAAATTCTTCCCGATGTTCTGTATTGTATTGTCTAAGGGGCAACCGATCCTAAATTCTCAATTACTGAGGGACAATCTTTACTTGTTGCTTTATTTGCTTTCCACGAGCTACTCTTAGTATAACCTTTTATGAGTGATGTACCCACATAATTGGATGCTAATACCCTAACCTTAATTTGGGATACTGCAGATTATATACTATATGTACCTTCTGATTTTCAAACCCAATTGCGTACTTTTGGATAATTTAAGCATTATACCCAGATGTACAGTCTTTTCTCACCCTGTGTATTAGATCATTTTAACATTAGCTTTAACAAAGTTTTTTAATCTATTTCTGTACAGTCACAAACCTAAGGCTACAACAGGGAAACTTGCTCATTTTATAATCTTTAGGAGTCTTACACCCCAAACTTCGTTTTACTGAAACTAATCAGCTACAAAAAGAAGAACAGGAGTACTTGTGGCACCTTAGAGACTAACAAATTTATTAGAGCATAAGCTTTCGTGGACTACAGCCCACTTCTAGCCGCACCTTCACCTGCTGTTCGAAGCGGCTTTTTCCTCCCCCCACTCCCGCCTCCTGCCTCCAGCCGCAGACAGGAGACACCCCAGCCCCCAGCAGCAGGCTCTGGGCATTAACACTCTCACCCGCGGGACAGAGTTTAGCCTCCCAGGCAGAAGCGCCCCCGGGGGCTCGAGGCTCGCAGAGGGGCGGGGCCCGCCCCAGGGGCCGGCCGGGGGCAGCGGGAACCTGTCGCTGCCGCTCGGGCCCCCTCCGCCCTGCTCGCCCCCT